GAGGATGCAGAAAGAGGTCGGGATGGATACAGCTCCCAAGAGCATTCCCATAGTAACCATATTCAAGCTAGGTCTTACTTCCTAAAATTTCCACCACCTCCTCTAGTACCATCAGGTAGAGAGCAAGTGTTCAAAACACACAAGGGATACTTCCCATCATAACATTGTCCACTGCACATTTCTCACAAACTGTGGTCATCATGAAAGCAAATACAGGCGCCCCTTCCCTAGTGTAAATAGAAACAGGTGGGGAAGAGATCCGTGGTTGATGATTATTTTATTTCAATTAACTTTATTATTTTTATTTGTTTGTTTGTGTCTGTGTGTGTGTCTGTGTGTGTGTGTGTGTGTGTGTGTGTGTGTGTCTAAGTAAATGTTAAACATGTATGGATACCCATGGGCACTGGAAGTAGAGTTTTGAGCTGTTATTGGGTAGTTGTGAGCTGCCCAATGTGGGTACTGGGAACTGAACTCAGGTGTGCTGAAGGCAATATATACACTCTACTGCTCAACCTCCTCTCCAGCCCATCTCCCTTATTAAATTGTAAGTTATATTTTTATTTATGTATATAATATATTTCTGTTTGAGTGAAATATATATATATATATATATAGGCAGTATTCTAGCATACTAGAATACTCTTAAAAATTCATACCTGAATGGGCATACATGAAGAGCCTTGGAGATTGCTAAAGGAGTTGATAAGTTTGACTGGGGAAATCAGAGAAGCTGTGCTAGGCCATGTACTAACTAGACCTAGAAAGGAAATGGGGTTGTCCCTCATTTGCATTCTATTGCCATGATGACCAAAGGCAATCTGGAGAGAAAAGGGTTTATTTCAGCTCACCTGTTCTACCCTTCACTACAGGAAGCCAAGGCAGGAGCTCAAGGCAGGAAACTAGAGGCAGGAACTGAGGCAGTGACTATGTTGGAGCTTCTGTTTCCTTTGTGCCTGCTTGGCCAGCTTGCTCATACACCCAGGAACCACCTATGCAGGTGTGGCACCACCCACAGCAGGCTGAACCTGACCATATGAATCATCAATCAAGACCATGCGCACAGACCAATATGGTAGAGACAATTCTTTAGTTGAGGTTCCCCCTTCCCAAGTGTGTCACATTGGCAACTGAGATTAGCCATGATAGGGGCTTTTAAAACCAGCAAAAAAGAGAGAAAGATTTTCCCAGAGGATAGGAAAACAGAAATCAGGAGTGTATGGGGCTCAAGCATTCTCATGCATCTGGAACATATACAGGTTTTGTAGGAGAAAGGGTTGGGGGAATCATGTGGGGTACTGTTTCGTAACACCCAGAACTGGGTGGCTTAAAAACAGTCTGTTATTTTCCTTAGGCTGACCTGGATTGAGTCAGCTAGAGTATTTTTGCTCCATCTCTCTCTTATCACCACAGGCTCACCTAAGACAGTCCCACTCATGGGATGGCAGAGGAACAGGAGAGGAAGTCATAGGGTGCCATAGTTTAGACCTTGAAGATCCCTTAAAGGCCTAGGTACTACAGGGTTTGATCTCTAGTATGGTACTGTTGGGAACTGGTAGATCCTTTAAGAGGTGGGTCCTACTGGGATATCTTTACATCACAGGACTCACGACCTCAAAGGAGACAATGCAACTCCTGCCCCACCTCACCCTTACTCCCTGAACATGAGAATAGCACTGTTTACCACCATGTTACCTGCATGATGTGAGACCTTACCACTGGCCCAAAAGCAACAGGACCCACTGATCATAGAATGAAACCTTCAAAACTATGAATCCAAACATCTTTTTTTTTTCTTTTATCCTTTTTCTTTTTCCTCAGATATTTGTGATAGTAATAGAAAGTTAATACACCAGCGAATCCAAAGCTAGGGAGTGGTTCTGATGCTTTGATCAGGAATCTGTACATTAATGCTGAAAGGTCCTGTTTCCCAATTGGTTCTTGATTGATCAATAAAGAAGCTAGCAGCCAATGGTTGGGCAGAAGAGGCAGGACTTCCAGGTTCCCGTAGGCAGATGAGGAAACACACAGGGGAAAAGGTAAATTCGCCATGCTTCAGAAGGAGAGAGAACCACCAGCTTTGTGAGATCTTGGGTGGAGTGGCCATTGGTTGCTTCCCTGACTAGGCCTGGGGTTAGCAGGTGAGAGAGTAGAAATGCAACTAAGCTGAGAGCAGATTTAGGGTGCTTAGCGAGGAGAAACCAACTGGGCAACTAAATTGAGGGGAGATTTAGAGGTGTTGACCATTCAGCTGGCCTTCTTTATACAGTCCAGCATCCCAGCCAGGTAGGTAATGGCAATTCTCGCTATGACAGTTAGCACTAGCCATAACCACTGTACTCAGCACACTGCTATTTGTGAATACCCTTAGGTTGAATCATCTACAGACTAGATTTGCCCAGAGACTCACAGGCTTCACTTGAACTCAAAGACGTTGGCTGCCAGCCAACTTCTGATCCCAGCATCTTGGATTTAAAAAACACTCCAAGTCAACCTGCAGTAATTCTCATTCCTGCCTGCTAATGGAGGTGGGCAATGGCTAGGTGTTTCCCACAGACCCTTTAGCAAAGCCCTTCTATCCTTCCTGTGCTCCCTAACGGAACTGTCTTAGAAAGGCCGGGACACAGTGAACAGGACAAAACAGCTTGCCATGAATTACAGAATGATTGTAGGAAGTGCCCAGGCCCAGCCCCCACCAATTTTCTTCCAGAACACACACTCTCCTCCACCCCTTCTCACAGACATCTGCTCCCAGAGCTCAGCCCACCTCTCCTAGGATTGTTTATATTAGTAGAGATCTTCCTTCCCAGCCGTGCATCCTGGACAGATGCAAACTCAGGATAAAGCCACACTACAGAGTGCTGCCTCACACATTTCTGCTCCTTTACCCAGGAACTTCTGCGTGCTGTTTGGGAATTGTGCTACTGCCCTCCGTAAAAGAACACAGTAAGAAACAGATCTCCCAAGCCAGGCAGTGGAACATGCCTAGAACCCCAGTACTCAAGAGGCTGAGCCAGGAGGGTTGACATTTTAGAACAGCTTGGATTAGGTGGTAAGATCTATCTCAAAAGAAAAAAGATAACAAAAAAAAATTGACCCCCCCCATCATCCTTGTATAGAGTAGCCATTTGGGAACTCCCCCTCTGCATCTGAAAACCTGTGAAGCCACAACAGAGTGAACACCACCCTCACTCAAAGCTTCCCCAGTTTCTTCTCCCCTTTTCCATCCTATATTTTCCATTATACCGTGGGGAGCTTTGAGTCCTCCTCAGACAAAGCAGCATATGACAAGTGATGGAGGAACAGTGGTGGTCACTGGCCACTGACGGCCATTCCAGAGACCAGATACACTGCCTGTCTACATCACTGCATCGGATACTAGCCTGTGCCAATGACTACAGGTCTCCTGACTGTCCCTAAATGGTTTACCAAATGTCTTGTTGCTGCAATTTAAGAAGGAACAGTAAGTTGTCCAGGGTTTAAACAGTGTACGTTTTCAGCTGTCACAGTCGGTGGCTTTTACTTGTGCAAAGAGCATCTTTAGTCGCTGCCTTGAAGACAGCTCAGAAATTTAAGCTACAGTAATAGATGGCTTGGAGTCACAGCACCCAAACTGACAGGCTGGAAAAAGCACAAGTTTAGAGCATGACTCATTAAGCCCCGTTCTAACTCCACCAAAACCTAAGCTTGCTACTGAACATAGCATAAAGGACCCTTACCAGAGCCCATCCTTTTCAGCCTCCTCTCCCAAATTCAGGGAACTTTTGATTCATATGAGCTTAAATTCCTAAACTCTCACATTTATATTTTGCACCTATTTTATTCTTTCAAGAGAGTGGAAACAGATGAGTTTTTCTAGGAAGCAATCTAGTAGTAAACACAAGCCTTAAAAGCCCACCACTTCCCCTTGCTATTCCAGTGCTGCAGGACAGCTGGCATGATGACAGCTGGCACACAAAGCACAGCTTAGATAAAAGTGGCACATCTAATGTAATAGAGAAAAAACGGGCACAATCAAAATGGCCAATGGGCAAGTGTTCAGTTAGGAAGCAGGGGCAGTGTTAGTCTGCAGTGACGAGTCACGATGGGCATGCGGAGTTCTTCACAGTGTGAGAGAATATTCTTGATAAAACGTGGATAGGAAACAGAAGCAGAAACCAAGCACTGTAGTGGGCGGTTCTTATGCTAAGGTCCTGTTTCCTTAATTGGTTCTTGATCTGTCAGTAATGAAAGCCATGGGCCAACTGCTGGGCGGAAGGGACAGGTGAGATTTTCAGGTCCTGGGAGGCAGGCAGAGAGATGCAAGGAAGGAGATTGCCATGCTTTGGAGAGAGAACCGGGCAACCATGCGAGATCTCAAAATGGGAGTGGCCACACAGGCTGCTCCTACAGGCAGGTGTTCAGGGATGTTTGGCAGGGGCGAGGTGGAACTAGTAACTGAAGCTTAGGGCAGGTGAGAGAGACTGACACCTAAGAAACTGATAAGGACACACTTTTCCAGGTGGGAGACAGTAGCACCCAGAATTGTGTCTTAAGGTGAGTTGAAAAGAACAACTAATTGTGTCTGTGTCTTTATCCAAGGATTCAAGGGAAGCTGGGAAGGGGCTGGTAGCATGGTCACTTCCCAGAGCAAAGGTGGCTAAAACTACATACAACACAGCACAGCCTCAGGGTTCTCCCACAGACACACAGCAGACACACATGAATAAGGGACTGGAGGAATTGCCCAAGAATGACCAGACCTGTGATGGGGCTATCCTTCTTGTGTCTCCATTTCTCAGTGTTTAAGTTCACACTTGCGTGATCACAACAGGAAGGAGGGACCAGGTACCCGGCTCAGTGCTTTAGAATACTTCTGGTTCTTCCAGAGGACCCAGGTTTGATTCCCAGCACCCATAACCAATGTAGTTCCAGTTCTGGGGGATCTGATGCCCTCTTTGACCTCTGCAGGCACGAGGCACACATGTGATGCACATAGATGCATCCAGGAAAAAACATTCATACAGTTTTTTAAAAGTCTTTTTTAATTAAAATAAAATAAATCAGGAAGACTAGGGTACAGTTTAGTGGTGGAGCAGCACTCTGAATGCGTGAGGATCTTAGGTGCCACCCCACACTGCCCAGAAGAGGTATGTGGAGATTCAGCACAGAGCTCATTCTTGACTACGAGGTACTCCTTTTTATTAAATTATAAAACCACCTGATGTCAGTACATATGCTGATATAAAGGAAATAAAATACCCTTTCTTCAAGTCTCTACCTTTGTGGAGCACGTGGTTTTAGACAAACAATGACACTCTAAAGTCGTGGCCTCCGAGCTACGCAGAACCGATAGCCACACTCCCAAGTGTAGCTGTCCTATGTACAGTCAGAATTTATGGAAAATACTACAAAGACAATGCCCTGAAAAGGTGGCATGGTACAGGGGGCAGTTACAGCTGCTAAAGTGGTATAAAAATTTAGTCAAAATAAAGTTTTAGTCCATTATAGCTTTGCAGAAAGCTTCAAGGAAGCAAGTGTAAGACACATCTTGTCAAAGGCACTTAGAGAGTGGTGATAAAATACTTCTGAATTTAGTTTGAGACAGTACTTTCTTCACTCCTTGTTCATTTGCTTCACATTGAAGCAGTGCTGGAAGGCAGCTATGAATGGAGGAAAAATAGTTATTGCTCAATATACATATTAAAAATACAGAGAGATTAATACAGATTTTGGTCCACACCAAAGCAAGTAACAGTTATCAGACTGTAGTGTTTCTCTTCATTCAAAATGTCATAATCAACTTTACTCCAGTCCCACAAACAGAGCCTTCAGTTGATAACTTGTGCTGTCTGGTGCCTGGGTCCCCACCGTATCTCTGCAGTGCATTTTAACTGGAGAAGATCTCCTCCAGGTGGCCTCGCAGGAGTCCACGCTTAGACCTCTATAGTTCTGTGTCTCGGTACCGGGAGGGCTGGCTGTAGTAACCACGCTTCGAGTGTGCTGCCAACTGTTGGCGGTACTCCTCCTCCTCGGGGTCACTGCCGTAGCTTCCTCTGGTGTCCTGGTAAAGTCTGGAAGGAGCTTTCTGAGGCTCTGGGGGTCTAGAACTAACAAAATGAGGGTATTAAACACAGCCGTATTGTCTAGATGCCCCTGGGGGGAGGGGTGTCACGGAAGCTATGAGCCCAGCAGGGTGATCGTTTCCTGACCCCGGGCACATTCTACCAGCTAGGGCACTGCTGGCCACTCTTCTGGTTCACAGGGTGATAAGGGAAGAGATATGATATGGGTCAAGGCCATGGCCTATTTGGTCAACCACCTGCTGTCTGAACTAACATAGGAAGGCTGTACCTGCTGTACTCCTAGATGCCCCACTACAGCCCCGGCCCCCAGCAGAGACTTCTCCCCAGTGTCAATCAACTGTACCAAGTTTCCTCTGTCAGCATCAGCTTGGCATTCAGAGCAATCTACCGGCCTCTACTTTTTCAGTGCTTTAAACAAGACTCCAGCTTCCTGAAGCAGGAAATAACTCAACTTGAGATCACCACAGGAGGACACTGATAATGCCTAGTGCCTGCTCAGCACTTAAACGCTGTGCTAGTCCACTGACGCCAGACCCAGTGTGGCACAAGAGTCCTGACTGTGCATGGTGATACAAAGGAATTAAGGAGCTTGGCTACAAGCTACTAAACTCTAGTGACAAAAGAAACCCTAAGCCCCAAGAATCTGTTCACGTGCCCTCCTAACACAATGTAAGGCTCTAGTGTGCCACTGGGCACACAGGGCAGTGGCCAGAAACTTCTGACTCTGTAATCTTTTTGAGACAGGGTCTCTCTACATAGCCCTGGTTGTCCTGGAACTCACTATAAAGACCAGGCTGGCCTCAAACTCACAGAGATCTGCCCTGCTTTTGATTCTGTAATCTTAATAGTTAAGTTTGACTGACAGGGTAAGGTTAACAGTCTGGGAAGGAAAGTCTTAGCGCTCTGACCACATGGGTAGAGTACTTTCTTTAAATACAGTTGCTGGAGAAGCCTCCTCTGACCAACCCACCAAATAGCCCTTACCTCATGTGCGGCGGCAGGCCGGTATCTGGCTTGGGGGCTTTGATTGGGACCGCATAGATGTCAGGGTGCTTCTGTGCTATTTCGATCTGTGGTAATGAGGAAACCGGGAGAGAATTTGCAAGCCTGTTTCATGGTTGGGTGTGGCCTAGTAGAACACACCAAACGGTGAGGAAGGAGGGAGCCCTGAGACAGTCCACTAAACCATCAAATTCCGAGAGGCACACTGTAGAACAGTGTGGCAGTGACTGGAGAGAGGGGATAGGGATCACTGTCACATGAGTATAGTTTCACTTGGGAATTCGGGAAGCTCCTGAGAGCAATGGAAGTGTAGGCTGCAGGGCGATACGAATATACTTTACACCACTGAGCTGTCTGTCCGCTTACAAACAGCTGAAATGATAAATGTGTTAAGTAGGTCATGTGGTCCCAACTACCTAGGAGTCTGAAGCTGGAGCACATCTTGTGTCTGGGTCACCCAGGGCAACATCAGTAAGGTTTCAAGAAAAGGAAAGAGAAGGGGGAGGGTGACTGGGAGAAAGCCTGTCCTGCCTTTGTTCCCCACTTCTAAGGGATGGTCTCACTGTGTCACCCAGGCTGATCTCTAACTCCTGGGCTCCAGTGACTCTCCTGCCCTGGCCTCCAAGCTGCTGCGACTACAGCCGTGCTCCCACTTCTGTTGTCGAGAGTCCTCTGATACTGAAATGTCTCATGTGCATCTCAAATATTCTACTGGCTGAAAAACTACGACCCACAAGCCCATGGCTGCCGGTATGCTACGGCAAATCTGGGAACACATGAAAGGCCTGAGGACCAACTAACCATCACCCATATTCTAGCTACGATAACATCTGAGAGGTACCGACTTTAACCCTCAGCCCAGACCAGGCCACAGACCTGCAGAATGGAGAGCTGAATCTTGCTCATCTGGACTGCTACAGCTTTAGTGTTTGCTTGTTTATTTCTGTTTTCCAAGTCAGGGTTTCTCTGTTATAACCCTGACTGTCCCAGAACTCACTTTGTAGAGCATGCTTATGTTGGTCTCAAACTCACAAAGAGCCACCTGTGTCTGCCTCCCAAGTGCTAGGATTAAAGGCAAGCCCCACCATAGCTAGCTGATAGGTTCTCGATTGGAAGTGTGCTGCCAGCAGGCAATCTGAAGCAGCACAAGAGAATTGTATGGTGGCTGTGCCTGGCATGACTCTGGCAGTGGGAAAAGGGGCATGCACTGTTACATGGAGAACAAACATCTTGAAACTCTCACGTGGGGCAAGCTAAGATGCCCTGGTGGTTGAAAAACAATTACCCTTGCATTCTGTGCTTCCTGGAGCTCCTGCATCCTCTGTAATTTTGCCTTGTGGTCCATCTTCTCGAATATTTTCACTCTGCCCAGGACTGATCTGGGAGCATCTTCCTGCTCCTCGGTGCTCTCCCCAACCTCCTCACTCTCAGGCATAGGAACTGGAGTGGAAGGTTTCAGGATGGATCGCCCAAAGGCAGGCTTCACTGCAACAGGGGGAGGACCGCCTCTGGTAGAACCCCCCGGGATTTCACTGCCAGCCGTGGCAGAGAGGTTTGACTTGGAGTAGTCGTAGGAGTCTTCTCTGTTCAGGTTTCTGGCCTGCAGAGAGCAATAGCACGCCTTTGACCTTGGGCTTTTAGTTTATTTTCAGAGCTACATTAGTGATTTAATACACTGTGTTTCCTGATCAGTTTCCAAAGGTGGGCAATGTAACCATCTCAACAAAGAACCAATTATGACAGGGCAAACAGCCACTGGTTGGGCATCTTGAGCCCCCACCTGCAGATGACAGAAGTGCTGGCAGAGGTGGGGTGGCCAGCAATAGCGAGAGGTAGAGCAGACACACTTTACAGTGGAGAAGATGGCATGTCACAGAAGACCTCAGAAGACATCAATTTTGGAGATGAAAAAGTAGGTTTGTCTGAGGTCAACCTGCCTAGAGGGTACGAGCCTGGGCCAAAAAAGTGAAAGCTGTACTTGGCTGTGAGGGCAATGAGGCTGAGCTACAGTCAGGGTAAGGCAGGCAGGACACCATGCCAGTGGCCACTGCTCCTCCTTCACTTTCAGTTCCAGCCCTGCCACAGGCCTTTGGTGCCTTCTTATATCAAGTCACTAATTACTGCTGACAGCTTACATAGTCACTAAGCCTTCTCGTCCAAGTTACTGAGTTTAAAAAAAAAAAAATTTACTGAGCTATAAGGAAAAGCCTACTGCTAATGACTGATTGTGATCTGGGGCAAGAAACCACAAGACTCACACCCTGCAATCCTTATGTTGATTCTAGATAGTAATTTATTAAATCAATAAATTACGATGCCTTTATAGGGAGAGGCATTCTACACAACAGCGGTGCGATGCCTGTTTTTCTCAGCAGATCACCAGTGAGGATTCTCTGGTATGTCCAAATTAGATTGTGGGCAGAAAAATTTTACTGGATAGAAAAAGAAAACAAAAACAAAATGGAACAAACAAAACTGCCAAGATTAGTGATTCTGGAGTGCAGCATTTGACTGCATTTCACTTTTCTACCAAAATAAATAAATAAATAAATAAATAGTAAATAAATTAAGTAACTCACTCAACTATAAAGCCTAAAATCATACATTTTCCTAACAGTGGCTTTTGAGCCTATCTCTCACTCTTCCCTGGTTTTTCAGGCCCACTCGATGGTCTGAAGGACAGGCTCTATCTATCACAGCACATGGTGAGTTCACATCACCTCACTGCATGTACCCCTGGGTGCCCAGGGGCTCCAAGGCACCTGCGTCCTCCTCCTTCCCATCCTGGGCTTCCCAGCCACATACCTTGGGCGGCTCTGGCTTGAACGCTGGGGGCGGGCTAGCATCCCTAAGTTGGTCTCTGCTAGCAGCCCTCCTCATCTGAGCCCGTGGCTCTGGGCTGGATTTCCTTATGCTCTACAAAACATAAAAGTTCGTTCACACCAACAACACCCAACGAGCAGAGAGAAGAGAGCACTCTGCTCTGCTGATTTCTGAAACCCTGTGGGAACTCGGAAGCCGAAGAGCTAGGGCAGCTCTCTCAGACTCCAACCGTCCTTCCTTAGGGAACCTTAGGACACACCTCACTAAACCGGCAGAGTACAGAGCAGCATGCTCTACCTTTAAAGGAAGGAAGAGAAACCAAACCAAATACGCCTAAAGGTCAGCAGTATTCCTAAGCATTAGCTTCTCCTATGTCTGTAGTCATTAACTTTTTTTCTGGGGGGAGTACTTCTATCATTTATCATTTACTGGGATGAGCTAACCCGATAAAGGGGAGTACATAATTACCATCCAAAAGGACTCAGATAACATCGCCCACAAACATCATCATGCTGATGTTCTCTGAGGTGCGACTAACAATCGCTCTGCCCTATACTAGTGCCCACTGGTAGTTTGAAGGACCGTGTGAGCTCCTGGATGTACAGTGCATCTGATCAGATGTATGAAGCGCATTTCAAAGGTGACATACAGAGAGAAGGAAACTGATGGGGAAACACTCGGGAACCTTGATAGCATTAGGAGGTTAAAGGTCATGAGAAGAAAAGCAGGGCTCCTAAGAGTACAGAGAGAGGCCTAATCAAAGGTTACAAGCAAATGCAGCAATAATGTATTCATAATGTCCCATCTGTAATTTGGACAGTCACATCGGACGTGAAGCTGACCTACTCATCTATCACTCTTGATGACAAGAGAGTAGTGAACGGTATTGTAACTCAGCCTTTTCCCAACGTCACGATCTGGATCCACTTTCCAGGGATCGCGGCCACAGCCATGTAGGCACGGGCTCACGGTGTGCCTTCCTAGCAGTCCTCGGTTCCAATCCTCGAGGACACTTTCTACAGCATCCTCATGGCCTCACAGCCTGCAGCGAGCTGCCCAGGGTGTGCTGTGCCTCGCCTCACCTCCTCGTGCTGCACCGGCTCAGAGGAGCGGGTGATGGAAGACACCAGCGGCTCCTCGGCTGGCTCATCCAGCTCATTGTCAGTGTAGATGCCTCCCTCGCCGTCGGTATCTTCAAAGTCACTGATGAGACGGCTGTCACAACTCAGATAGTCCGCGCCCATGGCGGTTAAGTAGGACATGCGGTCTTCAGCGTCATCATCCATCCCTTCCATCTAGAGGAATTTGTTTTGAAGGGTGAGTGGGATCTGGCATGGCTCCTGGGAATGGGGACTCAAGAAAACTCCCAAGGGCTAAGCCAAGTGTTGGGAACCTTGACATGTGCTAGCAAGGGATGGGACCTCGAGTTTCCTGCTGTCACTTGGCTTTGAACTTATGTAGATGCTGGGTTAATTTCTGCACAGGGACACAGACTGAGGACCCTCTGGGTCTATCCTTACTACATCCTCTATGCCAGCTGAGCCAAGCTTCCTTGCTCTGCAGGATCTGCTTCTCTCCAGCTTTTCTGCCGGTCTGTCTCCACCTCGGGGTATGCACACCCCTATTCACTTCCAAGACTCTCAGACCCAGGCTGGGATGTTTCTCAGAAGAAGCTGGGTTCAATCACCAAGATCTTGAACAAAATCTACACCCTGCCCAACTTGCCCTCTAGAGGGAGCAGTGGAGACTATAAACATTTGGCCGATGCTACATGTCAACTAAACATCTGGGATAGCATCTGACTTGAGAGGGCTAGAAAAGATTACTAGTGTTTTTACATCACCTACTCAAGCTCAGAGTCGGATGCATTCTCCACTGACGTCTTTACTAAGCACATATTTCCAGCTCTCTCATATTTTCAGAACCTCTCTTGATATCTTTTCAATCTGCATTCCCCATGGTTCTCAACCTTGCCTCTCATCTCCACTCCGAGTTTCCCCATGTCCTTAGTACGTTGTGGCATTAGGAAGGAGAACTTGTAAGCTCTGATTAGAGTACTCGGAATGCAATTCTAGTTGCTACATTAAAAAGTAGAGGGGAAGTGAATGTAGGCGAGCGTTCATCACATTCTGCCTTGCACGGTCCCTTCATTTTTATTACTCTGTTGGAGAACGATAAAGCTTCCGACTTGATGAACACATTGAAATCCCTTTTGTTTCACGGGTTTACTACATTCACTGCCCTCTTGAGGAAGCATGGAGAACACAGACTCTCACCTCACGGCAGCAAATCTAGACCACATACCTTTCCTTCAGAGACCCAGACTGCTTCACTTTGCTGCTGCTGAATGCTGTCCTTCAAGCTGCCAAACCAGCCGTCGTTGGCTGCATTCACGTTGATTGTAGCTACAGACATAAGCCAGAAGGTCAGCATCGATTCTCAGAGCCACCTTGAATCTAGAAGCTATTCACATTATCTCTATACCGTATTTGAAGAAAAACTTGCCAAATTCAGAAGTCTGTATGTTATATAAAAACACAAAATCTTTCCGGTTGAATGTAACTAAAGCTGTTTTGGTTTACATTACAGACTGTATGGACTTATTTTCACAATATATATTTCTTCAAAAGAGCTACAGTGTGTTACCAGTGTGTGTGTGTGTGTGTGTGTGTGTGTGTGCGCGCGCGCACGCACGCGTGTGCGCGTATGCATGGTTTTATTTTATTTATTTTGCAATGCCAAGAACAAAATTCAGGTCATCACAAAAGACACATATGCCTTTCACCACTGAGTCATAGCCCTAGTCCAACAAAAAAAGAAAGAAAAAGAGAAAGAAAGGAAGAAAGGAAGACTGTACTGTGAACTGTGAGCTAAAATAAACCTATTCCCTTTAGCTACTTTTGTCAGGGTATTTTTATCATGGGTTTGGGGAGAGGGTCAGGGGACAGGGACAAAGAATCTTATACTTTACACCAAGCAAATAAAGAAACCTAAGTACAAACTTGGAAAATTACTTTCTGAGCTTGCAGCCTGGGCCACTGCCCTATACAGCTCATGTAAAGACACCATCTTGCAGCACAGACATAAGATGCTAACAGAAGCGTGATCTGCCATCTGTTCGTCAAGCTGTATCTTTGGATGTTGTAAAGATAAGCTAGACAAGAAAAACTGCTTCAAAACGACAAGTACACTTGCTTTGAGAGCAAGAGGACATGAATTCAAATCCCCTGTATAAAAAGCTGGGCATGGTGTGTGTGCTTATCACCCCAGCACTGGAAGTAAAGACAGACAGATGGATCCTGGGCGCTCAATGGCCAACCAGCTGATAGACATAATGCACACACGCATGCATGCACACACACAAACATTACATTGAAATAGAACTGATCTAAAACGCAATCAATCAGGTTGTGGATAAAATGGAATTGCTTTTTAATTATGCGCTCATGGTTCTTTAGAAGCGGGCAGTCCCACCAACAATGGAGGAGTGTTCCTCTTTTTCCACACCCTCGCCAGCATCTACTATCACCTGAGTTCTTAATCTTAGCCATTCTGACTGGTGTGAGATGGAATCTCAGAGTTGTTTTGATTTGCATTTCCCTGATGACTAAGGACATTGAACATTTCTTTAGGTGCTTCTCGGCCATTCGAGTTTCTTCCATTGAAAATTCTTTGTTAAGCTCTATAACCCATTTTTTAATAGGGTAATTTGGTTGTCTGGTGTCTACTTTCTTGAGTTCTTTGTATATATTGGATATTAGCCCTCTATCAGATGAAGGATTGGTAAAGATCTTTTCCCAATTTGTTGGTTGTCGTTTTGTCCTATTGACAGTGTCCTTTGCCTTACAGAAACTTTGCAATTTTATGAAGATGGTGCAACCACTTTGGAAATCAGTGTGGCGGTTCCTCAGAAAATTGGACATAGCATTACCTGAGGATCCAGCTATACCACTCCTAGGCATATACCCAGAAGATGCTCGAACATATAACAAGGACATATGCTCAACTATGTTCATAGCAGCCTTATTTATAATAGCCAGGAGCTGGAAATAACCCAGATGTCCTTCAACTGAGGAATGGATTCAAAAAATGTGGTATATTTACACAATGGAGTATTACTCAGCTATTAAAAACAATGAATTCGAGAGGTTCCTAGGTAAATGGATGGAACTAGAAATTATCATCCTGAGTGAAGTAAGCCAATCACAAAAGAACACACATGGTATTCACTCACTGATTATTGGATATTAGCCCAGAACCTTGAAATGCCCAAGATGCAACTCACAGGCCACATGAAGCTCATAAAAAAGGAAGACCAAGTGGGGGTGATTCGGTCCTTCTTAGAAGGAGCAACAAAATACTCATGGGAGCAAATATGGAGACAAATCGAGGGACAAAAACTGAAGGAGGGGCCATTTGAAGACCTTTCCACCTGAGTATCCACCCCATATGCAGTCACCAAAGGTAGATGCTGATGTGGAAGTCAGGAAGTACATGCCGATAAGGGCCTGATATGGATGTCTCCTCAGAGGCCTTCAAGAGTCTGACATATTCAGAGGCAGATGCTCACAACTAGCCATTGAACTGATCATGAGGTTCTCAATGGAGGAGTTAGAGTGAGGACTGAAGGAGCTGAAAGGGTTTGTGGCACCATGAGGAGAGCAACAATACCAACCAACCACAGCTCCCAGGGTTCTTACCACCAGCCTGGGAGCACTTATGGAGGGATCCAGGGCTTCAGCTGAATATGTAAGAGTAGAGGGCCCTGCCGGGCACAGGTGGAAGATGAGATCCTTGACCTCATGAAGGCTGGACGCCCCAGGGGGTGGGA